AAGAAAGGAAGAGTTATTCTTGTGCTTCTGTGTGGACTCAGTAAGGAGTCCACTTTGTTGCAGGGAAGGAACGCTTGAATTAAAAGCAGTCTGTGTGGATATAAAGGGTAAAATTAATGTAAGTGCTTATTGCAGATTTGTGTCAGTGTGTTTTGTGTGGTGAGAGGTCTGATGAGTCAGAACTAGTTTAAGTCCTGGTTTCACCAAGCATGTATCAGGCAGTGGTAGGGTAACAGCTATTGTTTAGATCTTTCCTCTGTTCGTCTTCTTCAACTCAAAAATGGCTGCATTGTTGTTTGCTGAAAGTTCAGCTTCAAATAAGTTCAACAACAGATGTAGTTATTTTATATTACTAGATTGCAGCCAAAACCCTTACAATGGCAGTCAGAGTAGCTGAATGACTAAATGTTCAAGGTGTGTACCTTTGCTAAAGACTGCAGATTGTTTTCTACAACCATAAATATTTGCAAGTAGATGACAGATGAGCTGCTGCTGTTCATTATGGCAATGCATCAGTGTGACTGCTATGTTGGGACATGGGACGTCTCTGCACAAGAGTATATGGAAAGCATAAATTGGCCATTAAGATGAGGTTGGTGTGAATGGCTTGGTAGATAAAACACAACCAAGTAGGTTGTGTGACAAAATGATGTGATGGTTTCATAATTGTAATAGCATGTTCATGAAGGTTTCCACAAGAACTGAATTTCGCTATGCTTGTTGTTGTGATTATGATTTTTTTCTATGACAAAAGTTTGTCAAGCTTTCTGGCGCAATGTACACTTAACATTGGTAGACTTCTTTTAATTCTGCCTACCAACGTAGGACCCCATGTCAGGAAATGCTCCTATGGATTATATGAGAGGGAAGGACAAACCACCATATGGGTCATATATGTTGGATGACTTATTGCCAGAACTGTAGATGCAATATGGCTTTGGGTGAGACACATCTCAGAAGCATCTATGTCTGTATATTTATACCTACCAACAATTAACTTTGGCTTCCTTTAACCATGAAGACACCCTTCTCTACATTAACAAAGTAGTTTTAGACATGAAGGTAAACATATCTTAACCATAGGAACTGTAGAACAAAATATGTAAAATATGATGTGTAAGGATAGTCTTGGAAGACTGATATTAATATCTTGTGTCTTACAAACAAAAATTCTAGCATGGGCACAGTTATTCCCCGACCTTTACCAGGTAGCCTTTAACCCAAAACATGATATTTTCTTTACCTAAACTGAACTAGTCCATCCATCCATCCATTATCTATACCGCTTATCCTGAAGAGGGTCGCGGAGGACTGGAGCCATTCCCAGCTGACATTGGGTGAGAGGCAGGGTACACTCTGGACAGGTCGCCAGTCTATCACAGGGCTGCATTTAGAGGCAGATAATCACACTCACTCCTACAGGCAATTTAGAGTCACAAATCAATCTATGCTGCATGTCTTTGGACTGTGGGAGGAAGCCGGAGAACCTGGAGGGAACCCACGCAGGCACAGTGATTACATGAAAACTCCACACAGAAAGGCATCAGGTTGGCCAGGGCATGCTGTGAGGCAGCAGTACTAACTGCCGTGGCACCATGCCATCAAACTGAGCTGGGTTTATACTTAAACTTCACCAAACCATAGTGATATCAGATAATTTTTGTAATATTCATATGTAGCCTTTAAGTTTTTGAAGCGCTGACATATGTTGTCTTGCCAATAGGAGTGTCACACACATGAGAAATTTGACTGTGCTACATCGGCTCTCAATGTGTATGTACATATCCCCATGCAAGGGGCAAGTAAACAGTAAACCAGCATAAGGTTGTGTAATATAATAAAATAAGCAGTATTAACAAGCAACAAACAGTGCAAACAATGCAAAATAATCAGTATAAACAGGCAGTAAACAATGCAGACAGACAAAGGAATGCTCATTGAAATGAGATAATAGGAATAAAAATAGAGCACTTAAAACTAGAGGCCTGTACAATCTGTACGAGGTTTATCCTATGGATTATATGAGAGGGAAGGACAAACCACCATATGGGTCATATATGTTGGATGACTTATTGCCAGAACTGTAGATGCAATATGGCTTTGGGTGAGACACATCTCAGAAGCATCTATGTCTGTATATTTATACCTACCAACAATTAACTTTGGCTTCCTTTAACCATGAAGACACCCTTCTCTACATTAACAAAGTAGTTTTAGACATGAAGGTAAACATATCTTAACCATAGGAACTGTAGAACAAAATATGTAAAATATGATGTGTAAGGATAGTCTTGGAAGACTGATATTAATATCTTGTGTCTTACAAACAAAAATTCTAGCATGGGCACAGTTATTCCCCGACCTTTACCAGGTAGCCTTTAACCCAAAACATGATATTTTCTTTACCTAAACTGAACTAGTCCATCCATCCATCCATTATCTATACCGCTTATCCTGAAGAGGGTCGCGGAGGACTGGAGCCATTCCCAGCTGACATTGGGTGAGAGGCAGGGTACACTCTGGACAGGTCGCCAGTCTATCACAGGGCTGCATTTAGAGGCAGATAATCACACTCACTCCTACAGGCAATTTAGAGTCACAAATCAATCTATGCTGCATGTCTTTGGACTGTGGGAGGAAGCCGGAGAACCTGGAGGGAACCCACGCAGGCACAGTGATTACATGAAAACTCCACACAGAAAGGCATCAGGTTGGCCAGGGCATGCTGTGAGGCAGCAGTACTAACTGCCGTGGCACCATGCCATCAAACTGAGCTGGGTTTATACTTAAACTTCACCAAACCATAGTGATATCAGATAATTTTTGTAATATTCATATGTAGCCTTTAAGTTTTTGAAGCGCTGACATATGTTGTCTTGCCAATAGGAGTGTCACACACATGAGAAATTTGACTGTGCTACATCGGCTCTCAATGTGTATGTACATATCCCCATGCAAGGGGCAAGTAAACAGTAAACCAGCATAAGGTTGTGTAATATAATAAAATAAGCAGTATTAACAAGCAACAAACAGTGCAAACAATGCAAAATAATCAGTATAAACAGGCAGTAAACAATGCAGACAGACAAAGGAATGCTCATTGAAATGAGATAATAGGAATAAAAATAGAGCACTTAAAACTAGAGGCCTGTACAATCTGTACGAGGTTTAATATTTACAGGTATTGCACAGAGGGTTATTGTCCAGTCATACTGTAGTTGGTTAAGTGTTCGTCATCACAAATCACTCATACTGAGTAGTTTGAAAATGCAGTTATAGGCAAAATATTTAGTTGTTTGTCTTGGAGTCCTTTTTAACATTTTTGTCATATATGTAATTTTGCAAGGCAGTGATAATGAATTCTGTTCTTATTATACTTAAGCATAGTGCTGTGAACAAATTTACTGTACAAGATCTTTCATGTTCTAAAAGTAGCTCCTATACTTGTCACAAGCTAACATCAAGGTTTAACTTGCAAAGCATCCCATCTTTTCCCCCGGTTCACTTTCTTTACTCATCACTATCATAAACGGTTACCAAACTCTATCACCAAATGGCCCTGTGGGCTGATTAAATTCCATCATTATTCATTGAGTTGTAAATGAGTATGGCCTTTTTTGAAACTTACAGTAAGTCTGCTCAGCTTGTTCAGAAAGGTTGTAGGGTACAGTTGTATGGATGA